AGACGCACTCTAGCTTAACTGTAGCCCAGAAATCTGTGAGTAACAACTGTGTAAAGATATGTTCAAATATGATTACCTTTTGAACAATTAAACTGTACTGTTTTCTGAAATGATACTGTTACTGAATGAATGATGTCCTAATTGTGAACTGTATTGTGGCATCCTTAGCAACTACTGTTACTGTAACTGCTACTGCTACAGAGATCTCTGTCGGTTCCCATGTTGGAACCACTACTGTTTACTGATATGATGGCCATCAACTGGCTGTTCGGTCTGATAAGACCTACTGTACTGTTTTGCCACTAGATGTACCACATATGACTGTAATGACTGAATAACTGATATACTGATTAAATTGACTGCTTTCAATACTGTATGGACATTCATTCTTAACCTCTTTACGCATTATGTTATTCACTGGGGTTTAGCTCACTGCTCATATATATATGTAGGTGTTCAGGCACCGGACCGTTGCTAGAAGCGTCGGGGTAAACTCTAGTTTTGTCAAGCCAACCTATGTGCCTCACTGCGAGGTTTCGAGCCTGCCAAGCTATGGCTTAGGGGTGTTTTAATTTCCCCCGTCTGTCTCTGTATCTGTTTGTAATGTTGTATAGACTGATAACGCTGTACTGTACTGTCTTAATAGGGATTAAGTCCCTGGCCTGGATGATTGTAAATGTTGTACAAACTGTTTTGCACTGATTGTATATATGTATGAAAAGTCTTTTTACATACAGACTGTCACAGCTCATTGGACACTATTTACTTACTGTTTTAGCTTCCGCCATGCCCCTGTACTCTGTATTACTGTATTACTGTTAAGTAGGCCTTCGGTAATCTCGGATTATTGGCCGATTACGGTGCTAAACCCATAGGGGCGGGTTTAGGTCGTGACACTATGTTATTTTCATATCTGGCTACAAAATATTTATTAACTATATGTTACATTTAGTCACTATGAAGATAGCAACACAGTAAAAGTGAATACACAAATTTTCTTTGTTAATTTTCTTCAAGTATTTTGTTCATTTGTAAATAATTTATTTGGATCATTCTAAGTTTACAATTTGACTTGTCTATTTTGCTTGAATCATACTAGGATTAAGCTGTAAAGCAAAAAGCCTATGGACCCATATCTTCAGTTTCGCTCAGGCAATGTTGGTGAGTTTAGTGAGTCAACTCCATCCGAGATTCAGCCAAACTCTAGTTAGCCCAATGATAATGCCGGTATGCAAGTTCAAACCTTATAACAATGTCATATTACTTCTGCATATATACTGTATTAGTATTATTATGCTAGTGGGCAAAAGAAAACTAGAGGTCCTACTTAAATTCGTAATATTTGGGGTACTTGTGATGATGAGCGCCTAACAGTCAATTGGAACAAACTTGGCCAACCTGATGACAAATTGGCAACAAAGTTATCATCGTTTATTGGAACTATCGTGCGTGATGGGAAAAATGCACCTCATTTACAAGAATTGGCATAAAGTCCCAGAACATTACAAAGATCACATATGGGCACTTGTACAGGTAAATGACATAATATTGTGTGAAGATCACATGTGAAAAGTAATAAACATGAGTGATATGATTAAAACAACACTCTTTATAATTTTTTGTATTTTTAATTTTGTATGTAGACAAATTAATTTTCTATTATTTTATTCTCTCTCTGTCTCTCTCTCTTTTCAGTCAAAGTTTGATATTCCAAGTCATGCTAGGACTTGGGTTATGAAGTGCTCTGGTAAGAAGTTAAAAGACTGGAAGGCAAACATAAAGAAAAAATATTATAAAAATCACTTGAGTTTTGACCAACAAAAGCATTATAAAGATAGGAGAGTATATGTTGATAAGTGGGAACACCTTATTAAGTATTGGGCCATCGAAGAAGTAAAGGTATATTTGATCTGATCATTATATGTTCTTTTACTTGCTATAGTTTGGGCACTATTAATTTGTGCATTTGTAATTTTAGGCACAAAGTGATAAAAACAAAACAAGTCGTGCAGAGCGAAAGTATAATCATACTACTAGATCAAAAAGTTTCCCACATGTTCGAAAGGAGCAGGTTAATTAATGTTTTCATGTTCTATATTTAATATGATAATGTATGCATGATGTGACAGAATGATACAATTTATATTTTGGAATATATTATTTTGTAGAAGAATAAGTTGGGAGACTCTCCAACACGTGCTCACATGTTTAAAGTATGTTATACAAAGGAGACTGGAACCCCTGAGGCAACGAAAGCAATGATACTATGTACCAAATAATTATATGTCCATTTGAACTTGTAGATTAGTTAAAAATCCCACATTATAGTGTTAAGTGATTGAAATGTATATATTAAGTTATGTTTATTGGAACCTTATAGGATGAAATGAATGAGAGGACAACTTTAAATGCAAATTTATCAAATAAGGGTCCAAATGATACATTTGGACAAGTGATGAGCAAAGAAAAACATGGACGAGTTCGCATGTATAGATTAGGTGTCTCCCCGTCTAATTTATGGAGAGATACATCTGGTCATAAAGCAAACCAAGACATAACAATGAATGTTATGGAAGTTGAAAATTCAGAGCTAAGGTCCAAAGTTTCCCATGTTCAGCATGCTCCGAATAACTTGGCAAACACATCTAACCAGGTAATTTTGTTGATGGAATTTATAAGTTATTAATGTTTTCCTACACATATATATACATACATATATCTATGTGTGTGTTTGTAAAATTAATTAGTTCAAATTTGGTTAGGGCACAACAGCTTCTAGTCTTCTTGACATGGTAACTCGACATCAAACATGGTCCTTGTCATCGATACAAAATGCCTCTCTTACTCAGGTATCCACTAAGAGCTAATCATATATATATCACATTACTTCTAGCTTTATTTTAGAATAGCATGCAAAACGTGTCTTACAATTAACCAAGGAATGAATATTGCCGACCTAAATTCCATTGTTTAAATCTACAGAAATTGTGCTGCATAGTCAAAATCATGACATGACGAAGCTTGTGCTTTTTTTAAATTTTTTATTTGTATTTTCTTGTGAAGTTTCAACAAGACATCTCTCCATCATTTATTACCGCATGGGCACCTTTTGATTCTCTCAAAATATTGCTTGAAAGTAATTAGTTGATTGTCATTTTTTACAATTATATTTGATTTACATTGTTGAGGTTAGGGGATCCTGATATTAATAATGAGCATGGTTTTGATTGTTGTTGATTGGTGCCGTTGGTTGTTATTGATTTTTTAAGCTATTGTTTGATATGGTCTAAAGATTTACGGTTGTTACTTTTATATAATTTGTTGTAGTGTGGTGAACCAATTAAGTGATTAAATCATTTGATATCTACTAGAAAAATACATATTATTTTATGTTGTCATTATCTTCACTCTAGCACTTTGTACTAGTTTATTTTTTAAATATTATTTATTAATTATAACTATATAATTACTTAAGTAATTAAATCTTGATTTACAAGTAGGAGATATAGTTATTTTAAAAAGTATCATTAGACCAACAGAAACAGTTGCAATCGGAGTACTTAAAAGTACAGACGCATCTAAAGAAGTAGAAAGGGAAGAACTAGGACCTAACTATTGGGAGGTACATGTTCAAGTGCCAGTCAAACCTAATGAGAGCTTGATCCGATCATATGGACTTGTCAAAACAATTGGACAAGCTATTGGAGCTCATGTTGCTTGGCCTACTCCATTTGTGGTATATTTCTTTCGTAAATACTAATTTCTTTAACAAATTTATATTAACTTAATATAGTTTTAATTACCTTTATAAGTTTATCTTTTGGATGCAGATTTCGCAACTTATGGATGTTAGCCGAGAATATTTATACAAGTGAGGTTGAGAGTTTGGAAACTGATTTTGTTTTGATAATTTGTCTCTCCGAAAGATGGATATCACCATGGCTTTTCAAAACTTAAGGTTGGAATAATTTTCTTTTAAATTTTTTTTTTGCTTTAACTTTGTTAATGTGGTAGAATATTTTATAATTTTGGCAAGGGATTTTTATTGCAATATAAATAAATTTATATTTCAATAATAAATAATTGGTTGTGTTTTGAATTTTTTTTTTTTTTTCATGTGATGATCCTATGGTGGTAATATTTGTTTATAATTATGAAAATATTACAGGATGAATAGATCTCAAATTAATATAGGATTTGACAATTTATATTCAATTGTTTATAAAATTGATTCAATTTTTAAACTCATTTACACATGCTTAGTTGTAACTTTTAAAAGTGTCAATGAAGAGAACATATAAATGGCATTTTGTGATAGTGATAGTAGCTTTGCAAAGTGTCACTAAAATAAGTTCTAATGTTACTTATATCCATTTAGTGGCACAAATGAATTGGATTTAGTGACATTTATATTAATTGTAAGATAACAAGCGTCATTAAAAATTCATGTAATGACATTTTTTAGATTGCAATTCTTCTTTAATGGCACTTGATAGCGTCACGAATAGTGTCTACCATGACATTAAAGTGTCACTGAAAGTGTGTAACCTTGATGGTTTAATGACACTTAGAAGTGTCACTAACTCTATTTTTAATAGCGCTTGATAGTGTCACAAATGGTATCTATCATGACATCAAAATGTCATTAAAAGTTTTTAGCTATGATGGTGTAGTGTCACTTGCAAGTATCTACAGTGGCACGGATACAAATGGCACTTGTTCAAAATGCCACAAGACTAAAAAATGTCATTATAAGAATAGTTTTGTGACACTTTCAAATGTCACTAAATTAAGAAAATGTTGTAATGAGCTCTCTATCACACTAAATAATCTTCCATATACCATCCAAAAATATTATTTTATTTTATTTTTATAGTCAAACATTAAATTCGAGATTAAATTAGAAATCCATTGCCAATTAATAGACATACTTTTGAAAAAGTCGAACAACCATCAAAAAAAAAAAAAAAAGGCCATCACTGTCGCCCACTTTAATTAGAAGTCGTTCACGAATTATTCAAACAAGTACATGAAATTTAACATGGTAGGTGGGGTGCACACTACACTCTCTTCATATTTAAAATTTGCAGATGAAGTCAACAATGTGAACGCTAATTTGCTCTGGCTTTTCTTGATTAAGAAAGTGAGCCACTCCTTCCATCACCACCACCTCTTCCAGATTCGGCACCTCCTTCTTCAACCCGCCATTTATATATTCTTTCGCTCCGGGAAGAGTATAAGTTATGTCCAGATCACCGATGATAAATTTCACTGGTACCTTTATTTGTACTCCGGTTCATGTCGCTGTCAACTCCCAATTTCTGTCGTCATGACGAAATACCATAAACAATATCATAGTAGAAACGAAAATATAGACACCAATTTTATTACAGTATTTCTCACCGTCCTCTCTCAGAAGGTGCCACATTTTCCAATTCTTCTTACAAGGCGATTGTGAACCTCACTGGTGAGTGAGGCAATCAGAAATGCAATGATAAAGTTGGTATCTTTTTAAGTGTAGCATTATTACTTTAAATTCTTAAAATAATTCACTACAACATTTTCTTAGTTTAGTGACATTTGAAAGTGTCACAAAACTATTAGTTTAATGACATTTTTTAGTCTTGTGGCATTCTAAACAAGTGTCATTTGTATCCATGCCACGGTAGATACTTGCAAGTGCCACTACACCATCATGGCTAAAAACTTTCAATGACATTTTGATGTCATGGTAGATATTATTTGTGGTACTATCAAGCGCCATTAAAAAAAGAGTTAGTGACACTTGTAAGTGTCATCACATCATCAAGACCAAAACCTTTCAGTGACACTTTAATGTCATGGTAGGCACCATTCGTGACGCTATCAAGTGCCATTCGTGACGATAATTTGTTGTAGAACAATTTGATCCGCTCTTGTGGAGACTCGAACCGCCAACCTCCCGCACCATAAACCTTATACACCACACTCTTCCCACTTCACCTCTATAGCACCACATGATTATATATGCAACATATATTATTTATATAGTACATACATCCATATTAATATAAAAGTATATGTATAAACATAATTATTTTATTGAACATAATTGTCATGACCCGAACCCGCCCCTGTGGATTAAGGACATAACCGGCCAGTAATCATGAGATTACCTACGACCTCAAACCAAACCAAACGTATTTTAACAGAGTTAATGGGGGCCAAACGGAAGCAATTTAAAATTTTATCCATAGAGCTGTGCTTACATGGCACATCATAACAAACCATACATATGCATATTAATAACTCACAACAAAATATGTACTACATAAGGTTCTGTACATACAGGATCATATAAGTCTAAGTCAACCCATCACGCCTATATACAATAGATGCAAAGTCTTCGCCAACATGACATAATATAAATACATAACAAAAGGGCGAAGACGGGTCTCGTGCGTGAGACACAAGGGCTAACTCTTCCAAAACCTTTGTTGTTCCACATAGGCTTCACTGGGGCTGGGTTTGGACTTCCCTTGGCTCACCTACAAACACATGAATGAGCGTAAGCAAAAGCCCAGTGAATAATATCAATTAAAGAAGCTATACATACGATATGTAGAACAACATGCTTCAAACGGCCTTAGGCCCAATTCATTTTTCTATTTAAAATATACACAATTTAGGTCAAGTGACTGCAGTTCCAAACAAACTGGCCTTTGGCCCATTCAAACTTACATTTGTGTCAAAACGGCCTTTGGCCTATTCAGATGACAAAATGGCCTTCGGCCCATTCACTCATTCATGTCAAAAAGGCCTCTGGCCCATCCATTCATGTCAAAACGGCCTCTGGCCCACTCATTTGGTATAGCAAACATTGTCTGCCAATCGAATCAATGAACTTATAAAACTTATTTAGAAATAAGCAATTGGACAACAACATATTTCAGATATCTCTGTTAAGATATTACTCACAGTGATCGGTTGATTGGTTTGCCCTAGAGCTCGACCCTACACATTCCATAAACACAAAAGGGTCACAAACAATTCAATCCATTCTTTAATTCACATATTCCTCTTTAGGCTTTATTCTTATCCCTTTAATTCAATTACAATGCTCAATGTGTGCCTAAGAGTACTTAGAAGTGAAAGAGAACAGAAAACGAAACACAAAATGCCTTTTTAAAATTTCAGAAAACAGGGTCCCCGCTCGAGCGGACACATGAGGTCTGCAAAAGCACTAGTTATGTCAAATTTACGCTCGATCGTGAATTATGGCGCTCGAGCGTGAATTATGGCGCTCGAGCGGAAGGCCTCACTACATGGCTCCCCGCTCGAGCGTGAACTTCCACGCTCGAGTGGACGTCATGTCTGCAAAAATATACTAGGAGCACAAATTTCACGCTCGAGCGGCAGTTTCCCCGCTTGAGCGGACCTCAAAATTCTGGAAAATCCAGAACATGTTCTTGAGCTCGAATTTAACATTCAAATCAACATTTCTTGCACATTATAGCTCAAACTTCACATAATCATATACTAACATGGTACAAACACCGAATTACAACATTATGAAGCTCAATTTCATGAATCAAACACACGAATGTCCCAAATTACACCAAACTTGCTTTCATGATAACAATTCCATGTATCTCAAACTCATTTCCTCATAATTTGTACATGCATGTGGAATATAACTCCTATTTCAACTTAAATGGTGCAAATGGTGATCACAAGCATGAGTTCTAACCAAATTTCTACATGGATTATAATTTTCATACTCAACTATACAAATTCATGGCAATAACACACATGCATGCACATATGGACTTTCAATTCAACAAAATCAACTTAATTCCTTGCCATGAGCTACCATATCACTTGAATTCACAACATTACAACTCAGACTCATGAATTTACTTACCTAGAGGCTCAAACTTTTCAATATAAAGCAATTTCTTGAGTAATCTTCCAAAATCTCCAAGCCTCAAGACCAAAACCCCAATCTCCTAAACTCTCTCTCTCTAATTCGGCTTTCTCACACTCAAGAGCCCAAAATCAGCCAAAAATGAATCAAAAAGAGGGACGCTGAGTGTATATGGCCTCTTATATAGCCCCACTAAGTCAATTTACCAATATTAAATAATTGAGCACTTAATTAATCGTTCTGAATCTAATTATTTTTATTCGAATCAATTTTTAATTAAATTTCACCGTAGGCTCTAAAAATTACGCTAATCACAATGGCGTAATCGATTTCGGGTTCTGCGGCCGATAAGGCCTTCAATTAATTTCCAAGGCAGATAATCAAACAGATATTCCTACGGTGAATAGATAGAAATTCAAAACCACATATTTTTACATAATGGCACACAAAATCATATTAAACACATAATCACATTCATGTTAAGGGCCAATTAACATATTACGGAACAGGGATATCACAGTCTTCCCCCCTTTAGGAAGTTTGGTCCTCCAAACTTATTTTACTTTCGTCGGGAAACAAATATGGATAGCGTAGTCGCATTTCCTCCTCTTTTTCCCATGTAGCATCCATCCGATAGTGTTCTTTCCATTCCACTTTCACCATTGAGATGGACTTGCTCCTCAACCGTTTCACTTGCCGATCGACAATTCGTTCCGGCCATTCGACGTATTCTATATTTTCATCAATGGCTACCCGATGATAATCAATCACATGAAACGGGTCTCGGAAGTAACCCCTCAACATCGACACATGAAACACATTATGGATTTGTTCAAATCCCGATGGCAAAGTAACTCTATAGGCAACTGGGCCAAGCCTTTCCAAAATTTGAAATGGCCCAATGTAACGGGGCGACAACTTGCCCTTCTTTCCAAACCTGACTTGGCCTTTCATTGGAGACACACGGATGAACACATGGTCATCAACCTCATACTCAAGAGGTCTTCTTCGAACATCTGCATAGTTATTTTGTCGGTCCTGAGCTGTTTTGAGCCGTTGCCGAATAATTTTGATTTTCTTAGAAGTATCTTGCACAATTTCAGGCCCAAGCAAAGCTCTATCCCCGACCTCTGTCCAACAATTCGCTGATCTACATCTTCTACCATACAAAGCCTTGTATGGTGCCATACCGATGCTAGAGTGGAAGCTGTTATTATAAGCAAATTCCGCAAGTGGCAAATAGTCTTCCCAACTTCTCTGAAAATCCAAAGCACACATCCGAAGCATATCTTCCAAAGTCTGTATTGTTCGTTCTGATTGCCCATCTGTCTGTGGGTGGAATGCAGTACTGAACCTTAGTTCTGTCCCCATAGTTTCCTACAAACTCTTCCACAATCTAGATACAAATTTTAGATCTCTATCCGACACAATAGATACCGAAACTCCGTGTAAATGGACAATCTCATCAACATAAATGGTAGCCAGTCTATAAACATTAAACGTAGTTCTAACTGGTAGAAAATGTACAGATTTAGTCAGTCTATCAACTACAACCCAAATAGAATCCATACCTCGAGAAGTCCGAGGTAGGCCAACAACGAAATCCATAGTCACATGCTCCCACTTCCATTCAGGAATAGGGAGAGGTTGAAGTAGACGCGCTGGTTTTTGATGTTCAGCTTTGACTTGCTAACATTGAAGACACTTGGACACATATTCTCAATCTCTTTCTCATTTTAGCCACCAATAGGTCTGTTTCAAATCCCGATACATTTTATTGTTACCCGGATGCATAGCAAACACAGATCTGTGGGCTTATCTAAAACCCTTTCTTTAGTTCCGAAATATCTGGGACACACATTCTGTTCCGAAATCTCAACATTTCATTCTCATTGCAAACTCTGTTTTCGGGCTTGTCTCATATCATCTATCACCTTCTTGAGGAATTCATCTCTTTTTTGTTTCTGTTTGATTTCATCAATGATTGCCGGCTCGGCTATAATAGCGGTATCAATCCGCCCTGTTCACACATTACCATTTTAATTTCAGACTTCTCAAAATCTTGCAATATCTCTTTCTGTTCAGTAAGCAACAAAAGCCATACTCCCCGTTGATTTTTCTGCTCTAGGCATCAGCAACTTTGTTAGCTTTCCCGGGGTGATACTGAATCTCTAAATCATAATCCTTTATCAGTTCTAGCCATCTCCTCTGTCGCATATTCAACTCCTTCTGGCGTGAAGAATATTTTAGACTTTTGTGATCCGTGTAGACTTCATACTTTGCTCCATACAGATAATACACCAGATTTTCA